GATGCTATCTTTGTTGGAATAAGCATCTTCCTGGCTGAGGCTGTGTGTGTGCAGGTGAAGGTAAGTTAAGATGCGTATTTTGATCTGTAGAGAAACCACCAAAAGGTAACTAAAAAATACAGTACAAAACATCAACAGAGAAATTTAAAAGGTACAGTAAAAATAATTATGTAACTTAAATGAAGGCAGTAAAGAAGAAACAAAATAGAAAACATATGGAAAACAAACAGTAAAATGGCTAATGCAAATCCAACCATATAAATAATTACCTTAAATGTAAACATCCCACTCAAAAGGCAGAAATTATCAGACTAGATAAAAAAGCAAGAGCCAACCACACACTGTCTATAAAAGACATCTAATAGGGCTTCCCTGGTGGCACAGTGGTTGAGAGTCCGCCTGCCGATGCAGGGGACATGGGTTCGTGCCCCGGTCTGGGAAGATCCCACATGCTGCGGAGCGGCTGGGCCTGTGAGCCATGGCCGCTGGGCCTGCCGGTCCAGAGCCTGTGCTCTGCAGCGGGAGAGGCCACAACAGTGAGAGGCCCGCGTACCGCAAAAAAAAAAAAAAAAAAAAAAAAAAGACATCCAATAGATTCAAAGTGCAAAGAGCTTGAAAGCAAAAATATGGGAAAAGATATATCAAACAAAGGATACATATTAGAAAGCTAGAGTGGCTTTGTTATTATCAGTCAAGATAGACACATCACTATATAAAGACAATATAGTTACACTATATATAGACATAATACTCTTAGGGAAAAAGTGACTTTTTTAAAACCATTTTTAAAAATTATAGTTAATTTACAATGTTGTGTTAGTTTCAGGGGAACAGCAAAGTGATTCAGATAGACAGATACATATATATATGTACATATATATATTTTTTCAGATTCTTTCCCATTATAGGTTATTACAAGATATTGTATATAGTTCCTGTGCTATATAGTAGGTCCTTGTTTTTTATCTATTTTATATATAGTATTGTGTATATATTAATCCCAAACTCTTAATTTAACTCTCCCCCCATGCCCCGTTATCCACTTTGGTGACCATAAGTTTATTTTCTATGTCTGTGAGTCTTTTTCTGTTTTGTAAAGAAATTCATTTGTATCATTTTTTTAAGACTCCACATATAAGTAATATCATATGATATTTGTATTTTCCTGTCTGAATTACTTCACTGAATTTGATAATCTCTAGATACATCCACATTGCTGCAAATAGCATTATTTCATTCTTTTTTATGGCTGGGTAATATTCCATTATATACATATACACACACATACCACATCTTGTTTATTCATTCATCTGTCAATGGACATGTAGGTTGCCTCCATACCTTGGCTATTGTAAACAGTGCTGCTATGAACATTGGGGAGCATGTACCTTTTCGAATTAGAGTTTTCTCCAGATATATGCCTAGAAGTGGGATTGCTGGATCATATGGTAACTCTATTTTTAGTTTTTTAAGGAACCTCCATACTGTTCTCCATAGCGGGTGCACCAATTTACATTCCCACCAAAAAGAAAAGATTGACATTTCATAATGATTAAATAATCAATTCATTAGGAAGATATAATAATTGTAAAAGTACACACAGCCAAAAGAGTTTCAAATTATGTGAAACAGAAACTGATGAAATTGAAAGGAGAAACAATTTGGTAATAATTATTGGCGATTTCAACACCCCACTCGCAATAACTGACAAAATAACTAGAACTATAATCAACAAGAAGACCAGAAAAGCATAGACATATATAGAATACACTACTCAGCAACTGTAGGACATGAATTCTTTTCAAGCACTAAAGGGACATATTTCAGAATAGATCATATGCTAGACTGTAAAATAAGTCTCAATATAATTGAAATAAATCATACAAAGTATGCTCTGACCACAAAGAAATTAAATGAGAATTTTAAAATAGAATAGAATCTGGGATATTCCTAAATATTTGGAAGTTGAACAAAATACTTCTGAGTAACCTGGCAAAGAAGAAATCATAAGAGATATTAGAATGAATGAAAAGAAAAGGAACATTGAAAATTTACTGAATGTTTATAACTTTAAAATCACTATCAGATTAGGAGAAGTCTCAAGGTAATAATTTACAGTTACAGATTAAGAAAGTAGACTGAATGTAAGACAATATACAGCAAGAAAAAAGGAAATAAATAATAAAAATTGAAACATAAATCAATCAAATCAAAGGGAAAAAATAGGGAAAATTTAATGATACCAAAAGTTCATCCTTTGAAAAGATTAACAAAATTGATAAAGTTTTAGTTAGACTGAACTGGAACAATGTAGATAAAAATTTTGAATTACATTAAAAATTAAAGAGATTTCTCCACTGACCATGCAGTGATTAAAACAATTATATGGGATTATTGTGAAAATTGAAGAAAATAAATAAGATAACTTTGATGAATTAGAAAAATTCATAGACGGAAACAAATTACTAAAACCAATTCAAGAAAAAACAGAAAACATAGATCATATACCATATTCAGAAACTAAATTAGTTATTAAAAATCTCCCCACAGAGAAGATTTCTGAAGATTCCCACAAAATTTAGATGGCTTAATTTTGTAAATGGGTAAAATTATTTATTAGAAATTTTACCAAAGAAATATACAAATGACTAATAAACACATGAAAAGATGCTCAACAAAATTAGTGACTATGGAAATGCAGATTAAAGCATCTATGAAACATTATTTCACTCTTTCCTTAAAGAAAATATCTGCCCATCACCTATATTTTTATTTCTCTCACGGAAATTTTCTTATTTTCCTGGAAGCACAGACACTCTGTTCTTTTTGTGACTGAAATCTAGTATGCTTAATACTTGACAATAATATAGCACCTTTCATCCAAGGATTTGTTGTTTGGTTTTGGTTTGTGTGTATTTTAAGAAGCTTCCAGAATTGCCTTGCCTCACCTGTGTTGTGGGATAGGCAGGACCTCTGAAAGGCAACCCCACCAGCTCATGTCAAAGCTAGAGCTGTCTCTGAGCCTAGGAGCCCTGGTCCCCAATGTGGCTAATTAGATAAAACTTCCTCAAAAGTGTGTAATTTAGAGGGAGAGTAACAGATTGCGTTGCACGGGTCTTTGTCCTCTCTCACGTTATATACTTGAAACAAACGTTGATTGCATGGAGAGAGGTTCCTAATAACATAACTCTAACATAACCCTGCTATAAGATTGTCCCTTTTTCCCATAATTTGTGTGGTGCTTCCACCACTGAATTGGTCATTAGTGGCTTTGCAGAAACTCCAAAGAGTTAGAGCTGCCTTGGCTTTAAAGGAGAGGCCAGGTAAAGTCTGTAGCAAGAGGTCTCCATGAGGGACAGCTGTGTGAGGTCTAGTCTGGGTTCTGACCACGCCCCAGGCCTTCCACTGTGAAAAGTTCTCTTTCTCAGTTTAGTTAACACACCAACTTAGCCTTAATCACTATCTCTCTTCCTCCCATTTTGTCACAAATACCACAGAGCTAAATCTCTGTTCCAACGAGGGATAATGGCTCACTGGCCAAAGTCCTCCCACGGGGCCCTTCAGATGGTGCTGTTTTGCTTTGGGTCAGAAGGGCAGGATGGCTTCCAAGCCTGGCGTATTCCGCATAAGAACAGTATCTGACCTTGCTGGAATTTGTACCGCTATATTAACTAGGTGCAGTAGGTCTGAAGACTGAATTCACCCTTGGAAGTAGAGCCAGCAATGTGGCAGCTGCTGGGGCCCCAGGCAGTGTATGTAACTGATAACAGCTGGAGGCTGGAGGGAGGCCCTCTGGCCTGCATCCAGGGAGCATCCATCCCAGCCCGGGGCAGGGGCTGGACTGAGGGGCTGGACCCCCTCAGTCACGTTTGGGTTTCAGCCCCTCCCCCCTGCCTTCCCCTCCCCGCAATTCCCTCTCTTGGTTTTTCCTGCTTAGCAACTCCCACTCCTCTCCCAGATTCAAGGACTCCCTCCTCCCCACCCCCCACCCCCCAGATCCCCAACAACGTGTTCAGCCTTATTTCTTTCTCAGGACCAGATAGAGAATGCCGATGATGAAGCTGAAGCAGAAGCAGATCCAGGTCAGGATGAAGGAATAGCCGTGGTGACTCTCCGGGTACTGGTCTTCAGAGTTCTTGGCATAGTGATAAGTGTAGGTGGAGGCCCCCACCAAGATGCACAGCCAGCACACCAGCATGGTGGCCCCCGAGAGGAAAAAGCGGTTGCCTTTCTCCATGGTGAACAGCTGGAACACGAAGACCACGAGGGAGATGACGGAGAAGATGATGGACAGAATCATGAAGGCCTGCACTGCCTTGAGGGCATCTTCACCGCTGTATGACAGGCTGTGACTGCAGTCATTAGTGGAAGTACAGTTTTTCCAAAGACCTACTGATATTGCTCCAACATCTGAAACCATCCAGACATTGGCAATGGTGGAAACAAATAACATGATGACGGTGGCGATGTGGACCACAAAGATACTGGCCAGTAACACCAACATCTTGGCTTTTTGATGGCTTGGGAGTGAAGAGAGTTCCTTCAGATGGTGCTGTTTTGCTTTGGGTCAGAAGGGCAGGATGGCTTCCAAGCCTGGCGTATTCTGCACAAGAACAGTATCTGACCTTGCTGGAATTTGTACCGCTATATTAACTAGGTGCAGTAGGTCTGAAGACTGAATTCACCCTCGGAAGTAGAGCCAGCAATGTGGCAGCTGCTGGGGCCCCAGGCAGTGTATGTAACTGATAACAGCTGGAGGCTGGAGGGAGGCCCTCTGGCCTGCATCCAGGGAGCATCCATCCCAGCCCGGGGCAGGGGCTGGACTGAGGGGCTGGACCCCCTCAGTCACGTTTGGGTTTCAGCCCCTCCCCCCTGCCTTCCCCTCCCCGCAATTCCCTCTCTTGGTTTTTCCTGCTTAGCAACTCCCACTCCTCTCCCAGATTCAAGGACTCCCTCCTCCCCACCCCCCACCCCCCAGATCCCCAACAACGTGTTCAGCCTTATTTCTTTCTCAGGACCAGATAGAGAATGCCGATGATGAAGCTGAAGCAGAAGCAGATCCAGGTCAGGATGAAGGAATAGCCGTGGTGACTCTCCGGGTACTGGTCTTCAGAGTTCTTGGCATAGTGATAAGTGTAGGTGGAGGCCCCCACCAAGATGCACAGCCCTGCAGGTGAAAAACAACGATTAGCTGTTGGTTTGGTTTCTTAACATGAAAACCAAGAAAAAGATTTTATAATTTTAGGAAGAGCCTATTTCCCTCATGGGCGATGGGAAAATGAAATCTGAAATTTGACCCCCAACGGTAGTTCTGTCGATTTGCCCCAAACCAAGCTTGATGGCTGTGTTGGCAAATCAGAGGTGTTCGAGTTCTCACATCTGCACTGGTTTGTGTGGCTGAAACACAGCATCTCGGGTCCACCCCTCAGCCTTCCCATCTGGACCCCAGCACACAAGGGCAGGCTGCCTGAGGGATGCAAAAGAACATGCCTTCCACCAAACTGCGTGTGTGGGGGAAGAATGACAGGAGAGTGGGAATGGCAATTATTGTAGGCATTCTGGCAGCGGTTTCATCTTTCTAAGGAATCCCACATCCCTGCCCCCTTCAAGGGTCTTGTATACAAGTACTACTGATGGACGGACTCCAGCCACTTGGTAGCTGCCCGGGAGCCCAGGTTTAAACAATGAAGCCTACGAGGGTTCTTATTCCAAGCAGCTATCAGGGGTTCTCCCAAAAAGCACAAATCGTACGAGGCGGTTTCACTGCCCCACGTGCTCAGCTGTTAAAGCTGCCGGGAGCACCCATGGTAAGATCTACGGGAAAGCTTTTTTCTGGATAAGCTGATACTCACAGCACACCAGCATGGTGGCCCCCGAGAGGAAAAAGCGGTTGCCTTTCTCCATGGTGAACAGCTGGAACACGAAGACCACGAGGGAGATGACGGAGAAGATGATGGACAGAATCATGAAGGCCTGCACTGCCTTGAGGGCATCTTCACCGCTGTATGACAGGCTGTGACTGCAGTCATTAGTGGAAGTACAGTTTTTCCAAAGACCTACTGATATTGCTCCAACATCTGAAACCATCCAGACATTGGCAATGGTGGAAACAAATAACATGATGACGGTGGCGATGTGGACCACAAAGATACTGGCCAGTAACACCAACATCTTGGCTTTTTGATGGCTTGGGAGTGAAGAGAGTTCTGAGGGTCCAGCGATCGAGGTGCCCAGGTGACAGGAGCTGGTGGCAGGTGTCCGCTCCTCTGGAGGTTTGTGACCACAGTGAGGGGAGCGCTGGCCTCCCGAGGTTATAAGTTGCCCGCGCTGGTGTGCTGGGGTGTGTGATGGGCGGTTTCTTTTCACTGTCGGTGCAGCCATTTTAGAAAACATTTTGGCAGTTTCTTAACAAGTCAAACAGAAACTTATCACATAACCACCACTTCCATTTCTAGGATAAAAAATAAAAGTATATATCCACATAAAGACATTCATGCAAATATTCATAGCAACATTTTCTGTAACAGCCAAAAACTGTCAGTAAACTGGTAAATGGAAAAAAGAATTTGGTTTATCAATACAATGGGATGATACTCAGCAATAAAAAGGATCTAACTACTGATTCATGCCACAAAATAGATGAATCTAAATACATTATGCAAAGTGAAAAAAGCCAGACTGCAAAGACTATGTTGTATGATTCCACATCAAATGGCCATTAAAGGCAAATTATAGAGCTAGAAATAGACCATTGGTTGTATTGGGTGGGGTGTGGGGGTGTAATTAGCTGAAAATATTGGTACAACTTTTTGAGGTGATGGAATGTTGTCAAACTGGATTATGGTGATAATTATACAAGTCTATTATACAGTTAGTCTATTATACAAATTTACTAAGAAAATACTGATTGTACATTTATAATAGATGAATTTTATAATATGTAAACTATACAGCTGCTTATAAAACAAGAAGTTCTGTTGAACTCTATGATAAGAAAGCTTGGAGAGAGTATGTGAGTAATGTGCTGTGGCCACCTACACCAAACTGGGAATTACTGGGCAAAATTATGGCAATCTTACCACTCTTGAACCCAATATCAATTTCATATATATATAATTTTTAAAATCATGGCACTTTTTAGGACAAGAGTGCTACCGTCTGAATATCTGTGTCCTCCCCAAATTCATATGTTGAAACACTAACCCCACAAGGAGATGGTATTAGGAGATGGGGCCTTTGGGAGGTGATTACCATGACGCTAAAAAGAGAGCCATGTGCACTTTCAGTTAAAAGGTGCCTTCTATGAACGAGAAAGCAGGCCCTCACCAGACACTGAATCTACTAGTCCCTTGATCTTGGAATTTCCAGCTTCCAGAACTATAGCAATAAATTTCTGTTGCTTATAAGCCACCCAGTGTGTGGTACTTTGTTATAGCAACCCAAACAGGCTGAGCAAATGACTACAGATGAGCAAAAATACTTCTGATCCTGAAACTACAGGCTGCAATGACTTATTGATTAATACTGATTCGTCATTCTTTTTTTTTTTTTTTTTTTTAGTTACCTATTTTATACGTATTAGCCACACAGTTTTTTTTTGAGCCACCACATTACCTGGCACTATA